GTTGACCTCTTGCTGAACTTATTTCCTTTCAAACTGCCATTTTCCCGCTGTGCATGAAAGTGCACACATGATGGAAGAGATGCGAGGCAACTGAATGCCAATGACAAATTTATGTATAAACTTTAGCGCTAAAGTGCCACTAACTAACCTCTTCACACACACCCGCCCCTAGATAAAAGGTGAGTGCAATGGCACGGCGCTTTATGAAGGAATCCAAAGGATCTATGAATAGATGCACCTGAGTCTCGGATGTGGACGAGGATGAGTGAGTGAGTGAGTGAGTGAGTGGTAGAGGGGCTCGAGCACTCACAATGAGCTCTCCCCCGTTGATTGCTATCAAAAGAGCGGCCTTCCGAAAGATAGAGGCCGGAAGAAAGGGTCTCCAAATGGGGATCCAAAGGGGCCTTGTCCCGTGAGTGGGTGCAAAGCTTCTGACAATGTCAATGTGCTGCGGCTGCTGCGCAGCTTTTAATGATTTATTTGAGAAAATTTACACGTGAGCGCCGGAGAAAAGCTGAGGATGTGGGATGGGTTCCGCGGAAAACAAACACTGGCACAGACACACCGGCAAACAGAAGATGAATGGAAATGGAACCCGCATGGAACTGGAGCATGGGTGGCGAACAAGAGGGGGGCTTCAAACATATGGTTGGGGGCATCCTGGTGAATTAAGTTGCCAGACCATGAAATGCTTTGGCACGTACGTAGCGCCAATTCCGCGAAGCTTTTTCGCATAAACAAAAGACAGGGGCGCTGGTTGGGGGGTTTTGGGGGTCAGGTGGGGCCCTTTCAGTTCGGCCCCTCTTCGCTATCTTCTCTCCTTCATCGCACTTTTGCCCCAGCCCTCGTTCGCTTTTTGTATGTTATTTCTGTTACAATTCGCGGGTTTTTTCATATTCCTTTAACGATTTATCATGCGAAAATTGTCTGGGGCCAAAGCCACGCTCACTTTGCATATGCCAAGCCACAGCTATGCACAGTGGAGCAAAACAAATAATTTTAGTGCATATTTCCCAAATTATTGAAAGTGGGTTTTTATCGAAATTAAAGGAGTAAGATTACAGTAATCCAATGTACGCTACATAATAATTTTAATAAAATATAATATACTTTTTTTCCATTCAATGAAGTCTAATTCAATTTAACAACGTGAAAGGACAAAAAAATATTTGTTTCTGTTCGATTAATCTTTGTACTTTTCAATTTGGTTGTGAGTAGTCAAACTTCAAACTTCAACTAGACTTTAAATTTAATATAAAAATGCAGAAATAATGGATAACTTTTATTAAATAAAAATATCTTTTGTCACTAAATTCCCCAAAACCCCTTTAACTCTAAACAATTTCACTGCCCCAAAATTCAATTTAAAGCACCCACTACTTTCCTCATTATTTTCACAATATGGCTTGTTCCATTGTGCAAACGTTTACTATTATTGTTTTACCACCTGCGGGTGTTTTTTCTCTCCCACAGTCCCGCTCCCCCTTGGCACTACGTAAATTTAGTCACGTTGTTTAAATAATAAACTGCAGTTCACACACACGCCCTCGCAAAAACACACTCATCCCCAGACGGCATTATGCAAAGCAAAGAAGAAGTATACATCTATCTGGGAGTCGAAATCAGAGACAATGGCCAGAGTTATGATGACAGTGTGCATACGTCATGGTGGCGGTGGGGGTGAACGAGTGGCCAAAGGGCTCCGTCCCACGGTTTGATTTGGTTTATAGCGCCCCAAACCAACTGAAACTGATTCCACATAGATACAACTCAATCAGTGGAACTCTGAATGGGAGGAAGCAGGTGAAGCAGCGAGAACACCAAAAAGAAATAAGCACAATTAATTATTGTTTATCGCTAAACAAATATCTGGGCGTTTTAATTAGCATGAAATATACGAAAATCTCCGATAGGATCTATGTAATTTTATGGGGCCCCTCAGGGGGACCGTTAAAATCGAGTAGCGATATAGATCAAGTGGAAATGCCATCAAAAGTAATTTCGAATTGAGAGATAAAGCCCCGTAAAAACCCGTTGATGGGAAATTAATGGGTGGAAGTGGGTTAGTTAGTGGTGCTGGCGGTCGGGGTCACCAGTGTCCTCCCCATTTGTGGCCACCCTGACATAGCTGGCATTTGCAGTCGGTGAATTTGCATACGCAACTCCTCCAGGTACTGACACAACAATTTGTTACATTGTTTTTACCAACTTAGTTGTGGACCAAGAATTATTACGCAGCATAAATTCCAGACTGTAACCCACTTTTCAGCCCGGAGGCAGCCAAAGGGTTACCAAAAATAGCAATCCCAGCCATATAAAGCAACCGAGCATCCTCCTTCTCCTCCTCCATCCTCTCACATAAGGCCATAAAATAGTTGTCGTTGGCTGGTTGGCTGGCTCTCTGGCATTGGATAAGCATCTGGCCCCCATCTCTTATAGAAGCTGGCCTCTGATTACTTCGTTAAGTTGCATGTTCCTACAAATTGTTTCCAAAGAAAGGCAATGAAAATGAAAATTATTGCCCTTCCCCTGCCTACAAGAGACCAAAAAAAAATAAGAATGGGGATCTGTGGACCATGAAGGGGTTAAAGGTAATCACAACACAACATGAAAATTGTGAAAGGTGCATCTCGCCTCTAGTTTATGTTTTGGATCTCCGTGATCCCGATCTATGTAACTCTGGACCCAGACGACTCTGCTGACTCCTGTCAAAATATATTCCAGCTCTTATCGCAGCTTTGTCATCACAGACAAGTGCCTCTGTCTGGGAACTGGGAAACTGGGGCTTCATTAGAGAAAGTCCCCCTGTCCCTCCACTTTTGGATACTAATTTTTAGTAGCTTTGTTTTCTGTTGTATATTTTGTCAAAGCTAATTAGTACGTAAGGGCATTAACTATGCAGCCCGCCAGTGATGAATATATGACTGAGCCCGAAAACCCCGGGACGAGTGTGAAATGCATATTTTCGTCTTTTCTTTTTGGGTTTCCTCAAGTCATTATGACATCGGCATTAGCATAATACGCGTATTATGCGTATTAATTACAGCGCAGACATTTGCATTTAAACGCCTATTTGTCCCAGGTACCACGGATCCCAGATCCCAGATCCCAAGACGGTGGTGGGTCTCTTGGCCCAAAACATTCCCCGGTAGCCAAAGCTCGGGCTGTAATTATTGAATTAGAAGACAATAGGCCCTAAAGAGGTAGATACCAAGTTGGGAGATGCGTACGCTTCGATAGCCGGTGAGGAGAAAAGACCACCCGAGCGTGGAGAGATATCCAAAGATGATGATGAGGCCAGGACAGGAGAACAAAAAGAGTTATTATGTGGATATTTGCATAAATTTCACGCCCTTGCCGATGAAATCAACCGGAGAGGAAGTGCCAAGGGGCGCGACTGTTCTTGCAGTCTAGAAGGCAAACTACGGAAACCGGCAATCATCTAATAAACCTATAAAATATGGTGGGGAGATATGTCTCAAAAGGTGGTATAAACAAAAAAAGTATTAAATTAATATAAAGATATTTTAAAAAAAATATTACCACCAATTTTTCAAAAAAAACCAAATAAATAAATACTGGAAAATATTTTATATTTCTCACACGTATAAAAAACAAATAATAAAAGTTAATGTTGTAATATTGGTTTATCAAAATACCAAATAAATAAGTACACATATTCATCCTTAAATCTAGAAAATATTTTGTAGTTAACTTTAAAATATATATATCACATTTGATTTGCTGAAGCTCGATTCTATTCAACCCAACATGCTGAGGAACTCGCTGCCCAGATGATGGACATCACTGAAGTGCTCCAGCAGGGACTTGGGACACCTTGGATACACCTGATCGCAATCGCTACCAGCTGCTCCCAGTCGCTCAGCCTGCAGGTAATCGTTGTCCGAGTGCTCCGACAGGGGATCCACCGAGCTGGATGGCCTAAAAAGGGAAGAGGAGAGAGAAGAGGGGGTTAACATAAAACCGATCCCACGATCATAAACTCACGTGAGCAGGATATGAAGCAATTCGCCCAGCAAACCATTTCGATCGTCAAAGGGAGCAGCGGCACTTTCGCAGATGCTCTTCAGGACGCAGACTCTGCCGTTGAGCTTCATGCGAATGGCCAGGGCAGTGAAAGCCTCGTAGACGGACCAGCGATAACTGCCCAGGGCCTGGAGATCCTCGCTGAGGATATCAGGATCCAGACCCAGTTTTTGTCCAGACATCTGCATGACCCTATCGAAAATGGTGGCATTGTCCAACAGCCTTCTACCAGAGATTTCATGCACATCCTTGGTCCTCAACTGTTTGGCGGAATAGGGCAGATAATACTGTGCCTTGAGAACATAACCTGTGATCACAGATTCCACTTTCAGATCCTCAGCAGGTATACCAAAGCCAGCGATCATCTGAGAAAAATTTTATAAATTATAAATTATTAAAATTTAAGTGATATTAAAGCTAACTTACCTGTAATCGAGTAGGATTGGCTCTAGGATAAATCAAGGGCAGCCATCGCGCCTTTCGCACTAAGATATCACTTTCAGTATGATCCATTTGACTGCCAAAAACTTGTACAGAACTTATAGCGAAAATTAATAATATTTCCACCTTCATTATAAAGTCCTTGGAAATATTTTGTTGAATTCACAATAACCACTGAGTTCGAAAGAAGACTGATGACTAAATTAGCAAACGCCAAAATGATTTCACTTTAATAACCTACCGAATCGAGCTTCTTACTTTCTTCGATTAGGAAACCGAAAGTGTCATCAACTGCAGGCAATATGGCACACTTGAGTCACGATCAGAATTGGGATCATTGTTAACACAGTGACACTGTGAGCTTTTCTGGCTCCACTTCAAAGTTCACGTTCTCTTAATTAGCACTCGACAATGCAGACCGACTTTTGTATCTTTCACCAGGCCCCATTTACCACAAAGAACACTGAGCAAAAGTTTTGGTATTTGGTATTTTTTGGTCTTCCTTTATTGCCTCAAAACAAGATCTTGTCCAGGTTGTGATGGAGTTCACTGAAGTGCTGGAGGAGGCTAAGTCTACACTCCTTAAAGACTCGATCGCAGCCAGCTCCCGATTGTCCCACCTTTTCGGCATAATAATACTCGTTGTCCGCATGCTCAGACAATTTGTCCACCGAGGAGGAGGGTCTAAGGGTTATGAGTTATCATTAGAGGGTTATCATTTAAGGTATCCTCCCTTTCACACTTACGTGAGTAAAATATGCAAGAGATCGGCAAATAGCCCATTAGTGTAATGGAAGGGCTCCTCGGCGGCCTCGCAGATGCTTTTCAGCACACAGATCCTTCCCTGGTAGCCCAGGCGATCGGCCAGTCCCTCCAGTCCCTTGTAGACTGTCCAGCGATAGCTGCTCAAGACCTTGTTGGTTCGGGTCAATAGCTTCCTGGTGTTCTTGCCCAGCTCATCCACTCCTACTAGAAAGTTCTCGAACATGGGTTTCCTTTGTTTTCGCGCTCCTGTGACTCCGGGCGTGGCCACTTGGGTGAGGGGCAGAGCTGTGGGAGTTCTCAGTTCATCGGGATCCGTGGGCAGCCAGTACTCCACCTTCAGGACATATCCGGTGGTCACGGCCTCGTAGTTAAGATCCTCGAGCGGTATACCTATGCCGCCAATGAACTGGGAGAGGAAAAAGTGTTTATAAGTAATAGATCATCCTATAAATTTGTAGTGATAATACCATAACACGAGTGGGCGATGTGGTGGGGTATATAAGCCAGGGTATCGGGGCTCTTTTACTCCTCTGATGCTTGGAAAGACTGCCCAAAGAGGTAGCCACCTGGTATATCAGGCAACTGACCAATATGATGACTATACTAAATTTCATTTCTCTGTTTTTCTTCTTTTTTTTTAATCTACGCCCGAGCGAATCTCAGTGCGTGCTTATGGCAGCTCTGGCCTTAAGATACTAATCCATGTTCTGGGTGTTCTTTTTCTGGCTCACGAATTTCTCGATTTTAGATTTTTGATTTCTCAATAAAAACGGCTCCATCAATCGCGACAAGAAGACTTTCTCGCCCGAGAATGTTACACATTCTAGCAATTAGCACCTTTTGGAATAGACAATACCAATAGATGGAGATCGGATGGAGATGGGGGTCAAGTGGTAACCGTGTAAATCTTGCATATTCCGGTTTCATTCTCTTGGGCCAAATGCGGCAGTACCGTAAGCCACTTCTCACCCATTTATTAGTGGAGCTGCCAATTCTGACGCCCATCGTTTGTGCAACCTGCAATTTTCGCAACGTGCATTCAGTTGGCTTTGAGCCTGGGCTAAGATGGTTGCCTTTCACTGGGTGTTTTTCTTGGGCGTAGCCTTAGTTTTGGGTTTGCACTTAACACACAGTTTTCTGGTATTTCCACGTCAGGGATCCTTTGGTGTGAGTATTGTTGGGGGATTTTCTTTGGGGGAAGAACTAATGTTTTTTTTAGTTACTAGCTGCCGTGGCCATTCCGCTGGATCTGGGGCCCAAAAATGTGTATATGGCCTTCAACTTTGAGTCTAACTATGCACTGCCATCCAATGATTCCTACAATCAGTGGATCGATAGGGTAAAAATTTCCATCTTGGCTTTATATTAGTTGATCGGATCTAAAAAAATTTGATTTATATTTATTTATCTATTTTTAGTGGGATTTGGATGATCATTTCATGGGCGTTGGAGGCAATGTCACACCGATCAATGCCCGTCATGATAGAGGAGAGTTCCCCAAGGACGAGGACAACGAGGTGAGGCGTCGTTCGGTGGGTTCGCCACCTCCTTTCAGGCGCCACGACTTCTATCGCAGTATTGTGAACTTTCTAACCCACTACGGATTCAATGGCTCCGCTTGCCTGCTGCGAACCATCTGCGAGGTCAGCGAATCGCCCCTGGATGCCCAAAACGGTTTGGTGGGCAGCCTGTTCCAGATTCTTTTCATGTGAGTTTGTTCCTCTAAAGATGTCGCCACTAATTATGGTATCCTTTATCCCCCATTTTTCCTCTTAGGCCGACGACGAGTGCCGCGGAAGGGGAACTGCAGCACGTGGATGGACTTTACGAGGCCTCCGATGCGGGCACGCGTGGCCTGGGTTGCTCCGATTACGTGGACCACTGCGAACATAGTGCTCTGGACCTGATAAGCGTTGTGTTCTGAATAACTGTGGTAGGGACAAATTTTTGAAAATTTAACTTTAACGAATAACAGTGAATTTGTGTCTTGGGCCTTTTTCTGGACTTCCAATTCGTAAAAAATAATAAAATATGTTTAATAAATAAATTTTCGAAAATGTAAAGGTAATCAAAATCTTAAACTACATTTTACAATTTTTTTTAAAACTTAAAAAAAATGTTTAGTAAATTAAATTTGTGTATTTGGTAACACCAATATTAAAAAAAATATTTTAAAATATTTCATTGGTACTTGTAGTATTTACTTATAATATTTTAAATGGCCACTTGGCCATAAAACATATTTTAATGACTTAAAATAAATTATTCTCAAATTAACTAAAACAATGTTTTATATTCATAAGCACAACGAGGATTTTTTCTTTGCAACCCACATGCAATTTTGATTTACAGCTCAAATTGATATTCCACTTCAACAGTTTTGAGTGCTCCGTATTTAAGTCACCTCCTGCTGCGGCGTGAAATGTTTTAATTTCGCTTAAAGAGCTTAAAGACGACGACGCAATGCGGTGGCAACAAAGCAGATGAGGCCAAAAAAAGGAGTCCTAAGCTGGCCGCATGGATCTGGTTTGGATTTTGGCCTGCTTAGGGGTTTTTCAGATGGGTTTACCTCACGTCGGACATGTGATGATGCCCCTGCTTTATGTTTTCGGGCTCCTTGCCCCGCTTTTTGTTAGCTCTTTGATCGCTTTTTCCGCTTCTTTTGTGCAAATGAAGTCGCCCCGGCTTCTCGTCCTTTGTCCGCGTGTGTTTTGCGGTCTCCTTCTTTTCGGCGGCCTGTCAACAATGCCATAGAGGAGTCTCCTTTTCCGTTGTTCTGAGTGTTTTTTGTTTGTTTGCCTGTTTGTTTGCTATTTCTTTGATTCGATTTGCCGCCTTAAAGGAGCCCCGAAAAACTCGATGGCGATGGTGAGAGCGAATTACGCCTTCTTTGATTTTGCCAAACCATTGAAATCATAATTAGAAGACAAATGATTCCTCTGTTCTCCTCGAGTTCCGCGAACAATGGCCAGGCATCGAAGCTGAAGTGCTTATGTACGCCACAGTTTGAGAAAGGATTATGGAAAAAAAAAACACACAGAAACTTGAGTACTAATAAGCTTAGACCATAATAAGAAAAAGTAAAGAGTTTGAGTACAAAAAGAATCAGGATCGGGGTAGAGGTCCGATCGCAAAAATTATTTTGCCAAGGATATCTTTAATTGTTTGTATAAATAGAAATCTTTCATTAGCAAACCCATTATTTATTAAGGGTATTCGTTAATATTATGACTCAACCCTATAAACAAAAAATCTATCCATTTTGTACATATTTTAATCTATTATTCTTCATCTCTTTTAAGACTGATATTTTTTAGACATTTACCCAATGACATATCATCTCGTAAGCTCCTATCTCGAATGACTAAGAATAACATCCATCATTTGTGATCCATCGTTTCCTCCTTAAGCATATCTACTATTCCCTTCACAGACCTTTCATATCTCCATCTTCTCCTATATCTCAATTGTGGGATCGTAAAAGACACGACCATCAAATGTGATCCATCTCCTCAAGATTCCAGTGTTTTTATTACATTTCTGTTGCTCATTTCGTCACTTCAACATGGGTGGATGTCTAAGTTGTCTCCTTTGATTTACGGCCAGCCTGGGATGTCAATTTATTTTTGTGCTCTGTTTTTAAACTTGGCATTGACACTGGGCCATATAACATTTTAATGGGGTGCGGGCAGGTGCTAAGGAGGTTTGCCCCGCGATCCCGCTTCCTGTGCCGCGGTTAGCCATGGATAACTCTCCCCGGAATTCATTTGCCTTTGGGGGCTGGTTCAAATTGATTTGTAATTAGTTGCAGTTGCAGTCAACAATGTGATTATCCCTCGGTTTTGGCATGGGCCTAACCACAAGGGATGTATGTATCTAAAATGTACATGCATATGTATATCATAGGGAGCTGGGGGCGTTGTGGGATCTAGGGTTACACAGATGTGCCCAGACGTATCCCGAGAAACGGATCCACTTGAGATCGGGATATGCATAAATTACGTAGAGAGCCAAACATTATCCTAGGCAATTGACAGCTCCCTTAAGTAGTCATCTAGCCATGACATATGAGGCGTTCTGGTGAGTTGTAAACGCATCTGTGGGCAGGATTCGTGGATTGTGGACAACCGATCCACCGCCATGTGTCGGCATACTGCTCAAATCGTATATATAGTATAGCATAGTATCCATAGCCGTTGACAGTTCTGTGGTGTAAATCATTGCGCCGGCAACTGTCACCCATTTTGAGGTTTCCATTTAATAAAATTCTTTGCAACTTTGTGTTGCTGCGCTTTTTCCACCCACCAGTCGAGTTATTAAATTAGAGCTTAATCCACTTCGGTCACGCGTCTGCGAACATTAATTGAATTCATAAATGAGCAGTTTATATGATATTTATAAATTAACTAATTACCGTATCATTCGATTGTTGTTCCTGTGTTTTTGTTGCAGTTTTTTATTCCCCTCAACAATTGGATTAAATTCATAATGCGAACTGGCATTTAAAATGGCGCTTTTAATAATGCCAAAGCGTAATAAAAAATCTTGAAAACGAAGTTGCGAAATTGCATTTGACTGGTTGGGGATTTTCGGTTTATTTTAATTAACTTAATAAAATGCTTTTTGAGGGGTTTACAAATTTATATTGCATGCGCTGGATTGGGGGTAAATGGATTTTGCACAATGGGATTATGTGCCAGATTTTTTATTGCTAATCTGGGGATATAATTTCATATTTATTTTTACTGACAGCTTTTAACTAAATAAGCGTAATTTGAGGTTTAAGGAGCATTTAGTGGAATGGATTGGGAAATTTCAATTATTTTCGTTATTCAACGATCAAAGTTTGCCGAGCATGAAGACTTCATTTCTCCCGTTCTTATCAAAACCCAAATCTTAATTAAGAACTTTTTAAGGGGCAGTATCTTACGAAGTTCTCCCATGAATTTTTATATTATTTTCAACTGTATCCTAAGAACCATATCAAATTGATGGCGACTGTAATAAAAAGGGAATCATTAACCGATGGCAAAAGGTGTTCCCACAACTTCTTTATCGGGCTACATCAACGCCTCAAAAGGTGGTTTCATTACCTCATTGTCATCGCTCATAAAAACATTCGGGTCATATGAATAATGTCAAATTATTTCATTGCATCAACCCCGAGGTGGGTGCATTTAAAATTTGATCGATTGCAGGCGGAAGCTGAAACTAGTTTGACATTAATTGACTGCCAAATATGCACAAGCGCATGAAATTATGGAAAATCCTATTAAAGTCAACCCATCCTGGCCCAAGATTCGCAGCCCCTTGGCAAGTCGTGAAAAAATCAACTCGGCCAAAAGTTCATAAATGCTAATGTGCCCCGCAGTCTGACGATGATTGATGGTCGCCTCCGCCGGAGGAAAGTTCCGCTTCCCGCCTCGAATTTCCCGCATTTGAGGTTTCCCGCCAGCCACAGACTGCGCAAAATTATGCGAAGGATCAATCCTTGATGAACTGTATACATTTCACCTTTGTGCTCTGGCTCCCATTTAAGCCAATTTAATCCCCAGCCGGCTTAGTACATTACGATCTGGGATTAGGCCATGTTGCAACATCTTCTCCTTCGCAGATTTGGCTATTATGCCGTGGCAAATATTTGCACGGGATTTGCTTGTAGGCGGTGTTCCCCTAATGATCTTTGCCAAAAAGGAAATCAGATTTTCCAGTTCCTGGGAAAGTAGGCGGCTCACCCAAAATAACCTTTTGTCTGAATAGGCCAGGCTAAGTCCTTCATTCTGGCCTTATCTTGGCCGCAGTACATGTCTGTTTACTTGCCCTTCATCAAGAAGCGGGCGTTTTTTCAGACCTTAAGTTAACATGTCAGTCAACACCAGAGTTTAAAAAAATGAGAAAGAAAATTTAATCATCTTCGAGAAATTAAAATAAAATAATCAATTTACTTTTTATCTTTAATTTTTTTAATAATTTTTAGTAACGACAAATAAATAATATTGTTTGCTTTATATTATTTAGTTATTTAATATATTTTATACCTTAAATTTATCTAAAACCACTTCAAACAAAATCTGTCATTATTTTCTTTAAAAAGCTATTTTAAATAAAATCAAGTACATTGGAAATTTCTAATATTTTTAAGGAAATCCTAAATCTAAACTGGCAGCACTAGAACCCTTCTTGCTGCCATTTCGGTCTCTGTTTTCCCATGTCTCTGCTGTTGGAGTCCGCATCGCATAATTTTTCACTCGCTTGTTTGGTGCGTATCCCCTGCTGTCTGCTGTGTTTTCCCTTCATATTTTTTTTATATACATATGTCCGTGTTGATAAATTTGCTTAGATTATTATCCTGGAGCCCGAATCCTGGCGTGGCTGGGCTCTGCTTGCTGTTATCTCCCTGTCGTAATTAGTCTCGAGCTTGTTTGCGCCGCATTTACACAAAATGCTTTTCCAGGCGCCGCACGCACTCACGGACAAACGGACAACGGACAGGGGACTCGAACCCGGACGGACAGCTATGTATAGGATGGGCCAGGATTGTCGTACGAGGCAAATTGCTGCGGAATATGAATAAGGGGAATTATTCGTTTTTGCTGCGACCGCCACCGCAACAAATACCTCATATTCTAATAGATAACCCGAGGAATCGGAGGCCTTAAATTGTCAGACATCTCGGGGAGAAAGCGCAGCTCGTCCCCAAGTCAGGCTGGCAACCTTTTAGCATAAATTTCTCCAGGCAGAGCACGACAGGAAGTCGTCGCCAAACGCCTCCGCCAAGCGCAATTTCCATTAGCAGCCCGATGGTATGGGAACATCATATGTGGGCACGGACGAGCGGATGGATGGATGGTCCCAGAGAACATTTGACATTTTAAGGAGCGCCAAGTGAGTTGCCGGGCAGGTAGCTCAGCTCAGGTAAAATGC